AAGTAGAAAAGTACCTTTTAAGTAATGGCTATCTGCGTTAAAAGGTGAATTAACCTGGCCTTATATAAATTTCTTGCTCATGTCAGAGATTTTAAATAATGCATTGATTCAAATGCAAACAAACAAAGTAACAAAAAAAGGAGAATACGAGTCCAAAGACCTCTCGAAGCTCCCAGGTGCTTTAGCTCGGTCCAGATAAGAGATCATTCAAACATCCTTTGCCAACAGGTTTCTCTGTTGTCCTCTGTCAGTAGAAACGGGCTCATGGTTTGGCTGGTCCGGTTTCAGACCACACCGTAAATAGCGAAACTAAAATTTCAACTATGATTGTTATGATTTTAAAAATCACTGCAATTATATAGTTTTACATGTTGCAGGAAGATTGTTTTCCATGGCGAATAAATATCTTAACTTTTCAAAAACACCCAATTTCTAGATTAGATTATTTGTCTCTTACGTCGGTTCACTGCTTCATAAACAGCATCGAAACCAGGTGCGTGATAACTGGACCCTGACATCCTGCTAGAGTCGAGATGAACACGGAGATAGCGACCGCTGGAAAACACCGAGGGCTCGAACTCCTCGCCGCAGAATTTGTTGAGCAAATCACTCGTTGAATTCCACCCATCCCAAATATACAGAAATGAATAAGAACAAGAACGATCCAACTTAAGGGACTTCATTCTAAGCTTCACGTAGTGTCCTTCAGGTACTGTGATCACCCATGTGCACTTTATGCCAGCGGGAAAGTCACTCGGGAACAACGGCGAGAAAATTCTTCCTGTCTCGCTTGTCAGAGAGATGACTTGGTTTTGTGGGCCTCTGCATAACCCCACCACAGCTAGAAAATGTAAAAAGGAGAGATAGGTTAACACACTTGACGTGTCATGTGATTCATTCTCGTCTGATTGAAAGAAGCCTTTAATGCCCGCTTGAAAACTGTTGTTCTTGAATCAGTCGGTGTGAAATATATCCGAGGAATTGGTTAGTTAAGCTGAACGAGATTTTGTGTTGATGAATAAGACAGCAATTTGTAACAGCTGCACATGTTGCACGCACTAGGGTTAACAGTTCACTTAATGAAGAGGAAGGACTACAGTCGCTTCTTTTTCTCTCCCCAGGCCCAAGTCGCGTTTCAATGGATCGAGTTCATGAATATTTGACTATAATTTGTCATGCCTCTTTAACTATTTCTCATCGAGCAAAACAACTGCTCCTTGTTTACGCGACCAGGTTCAAATTCTAGCATAATATAGGGTACATAACCTAATGACTGGGAGTCTGAAAACCTTACATTGCTTAACAGCCTCAAACACAGCATATATCTCTGCCTTGTGGTCATTTGAATACTGTAGCTGAACCCAGAGGTGACGATCGCTGGAAAAGAGAGTTACCAATTCGTCTTTCCCCAGTCCACACAAAGATTCAAAAGCCTCACTAGTAGAATTCGGGCCATCGCGGATTTGAAGAGTAGAATTTTTGCAAGCACGATCCAAATACCAAAACGCTATGATTCGTAACTTTACGACATGTCCCTCTGGTACGGTTATGATCCATGTTATACACTTCACGTCGTCTGAAGGCACTGAAGAATTCAAGACGTGATCGAGCGTTCCCGTTTTTTCAGTCAGGCGAACAATTTCGTTTGCTCCTGGAGTATTGCATTGTCCCATTGCTGCTGAAACAACAACAAAAATAACTGCTATTGACTCTTCAACTGCGATTACAGCTGCCTCTGAAAACTCCCAGTGTGTTTGGCTTTCGTTAGAAAAGCGAAAGTCTTGGTGAGCGGTGACGACTCAAAAGCCGGTACTCTCACTCACTCCTTACCAGACTTACATCGCGCAGACAGCAAGACAAGGAAGAACGCCTGTGGCCTAGGGTGGTTCAAGTATGAGGCTAAACAAGGTATGTTTTTAAAAGATATCTGCTAAAACTAAGATATAAGCAAAGTAAATAAAAAACAGCAGATTGAAGCACGATTCTATAATATTGATTTTACCTTTAGCTATCACCAGTGCCTTGAGCAGCAGACAAAATCCTGAATGATGATAAAGAAGCAATCGAATGTTATTGCAATTAGCTAAAATCAGCCAATCAGAACGCTTTATTACCTGGTCCAAGTATAACGCTTTATTACCTGCATGGTCCAAGTATTGAGCAGTCTGGATCTCGTGAACTGGCCCCCAGACTGGGTGGGGTGAAAAAGAAAAGAGGTGGGGGTTGTATTGTAGCACTGCCCACAAGGGAGCCATTTGGCTGTTTGGATCGTCTAAATTTGAATTTAGTGCTATTTTGTCTGTATAAATTTTCTTGAGAATTTAAATTCTGTTTTCACGAGCGTGCAAAG